GGTGCATGACGGGCAACTTGGAAATAATGCAGAACTATAATTCGGTTCCAAATCCTCGTGTCTTCAAAATATTTGGGTTACTGGCTGTAAGTATTGATAACTCTGGCAAACCAGCGTTTTATAAAACTAGGGTTCTACACAAATATTTTACGCAAACACTTTCTTGGTAATCTAATTTGAATCAATGTGACCATTAACTGGACATTTTAAAGTATATTGAATAATATTATACGTTCCATTTCTTAACTTTCAGTCTCTTTTTATAATTATGATTCAGGTATGTCCCTTGTAAAACTGGATTTTTTCCTATAATTTTGGATTTCCTTTAATAGATTTTAATTAATTTACATATGATCCCTGATATATGTAGATTTATTTCTACCATCCTATTTATTGCTTTCATTTACAGGGTTTTTCTTCTTTCTTTTTGCTTCTTTTTCTGGCCTTAAAATTTTTAGTTTGAAAATATGTATCCCACTTTTATGTGTGTAATCAGTCCTAACATTTTAACTGGAACACTGGAATCAGTAAAGTCTAATGAAAATGATAGTACTATACTTTTCCTGATCAATATATGAAAATTGGAAATTGCTAATTTAGTTCACCCCTTCCCATATCCATGTTAATGTTGTCTACAATTTAGTTCTATCTTATTTTCAACAGCCCCTCAATTGCTTGCTCTTTTTTTAAAGAATCAATTTTTACTTTGAATTTTTAGTAGCTCATTTAGTGAGGGATTATGAATAGTAAGTCCTCTCTATCTTGATCATCTGAAAATCTTTTAAATTTTGCTCTCTTGAGCAATCAATGTTGGATAGATCTCAATCTATCCTCCATATGTTTTAACCTCCCTTTTACATAATCACTCACTTTATCTTTCTTCTCTATATTGTGGGAAATTTCATGAGGTCTACATTCCAGTTTACTAATTTTCTCTTCAGCTTTATCTAAAGCAGTGTCTGATCTGAATTTTACTCTTCTATGGAGTATTTTTGTTTATTTGTTTGTTTTGAGACAGTCTCACTCTGTTGCCCAGGCTAGAGTGCAGTGGCATCATCATAGCTCACAGCAACCTCAAACTCCAGGGCTCAAGCAATTCTCCTGACTCAGCCTCCCAAGTAGCTGAGACTACAGGCATGTGCCATTATGCCTAGCTAATTTTTCTATGTTTTGGGTCTCACTCTTGCTCAGGCTGATCTTGAACTCTTGGCCTCAAGCAATCCTCCCATCTCTGCCTCTCAGAGTGATGCGATTACAGGCATGAGCCACTGCGCCTGGCCTCTTCCATTGAGTTTTAAATTTCAATCATCATACTTACATTTCTAGATGTTCCATTTGATTTTTTCCTCCAAATATGTCTGTCCTTTTAACAATATTCTGTTCTTTCATTTGTACTTGTATTTCTTTTGAAAATACAGTTTGTTGTTTGACTTTGACTTACTATATAGTTTCATTCAGATTACTCTATTGAGTCCATGCAATGAGAATGCTGACTCACTTATTTATTATGTTGCCACTTCTCCCTTACAGTGGACTATTCCCCCGGGGGATTTGAAACTTGGTATCGTAAGCTCATTTTCAGGAGTGAACCGACTTTGTCATAGACAAATGCACTTACTTTATGGAAGGAACCCTAGCGAGTGGCACGCTGTTTGCTTTGCTAGGGCCCCAAAAGTTTTGCCAATTATGTTAATTACACGTCTTTAGTTTTTTGCTCCCAACGCTGTATCTCAGACTCCATACCAGAGCTGGTGTAGGATTGTGGTTTTAACATAGGTTTTATTCAAGTGACAACTTCATTTTCCTCTTCTCTACCATGAATTTTCCTGCGACTTCCTTGGGCTAATGGACAAAAATGTTCTAGTTATTTCTCATGGTGGGGCAACCATTTAGGAGTGTTAGTTTTATTCAGGGTTCTTGCTTTCAAATCTAAGTCTCAGTCTTTCGTAAAGCCAGCACTTCTGCCTCTGTCCCCAAACTGACACCCTAAGTCCCAGGTCCCAGAACCTGCTTTTATGTCCATTGGCCCTCCTGGTTAACCTGGTGTCCCCTTACATAGGTACCTCTCTATCTTGGAGTGGCAACTTCATTTCTTGCCCTTGAGGAGTTCTCTGTCTTCTTTCTTTGGAACTTTCTCTCCACGTGTACACATGCGTGTGCGCGCGTGTATGTGTGTATGTGTCTTTTAAGTCTGTAACATTTTATCCAATATTTCTATACAGTTTCAATAAAAGGTGCTTGCATTAAGGTAGGTGGTTAAATGTGTCTGAATTTGGTTGTTTTGAACAGATTAATGAACAAACAATTGACAGTAATATTTTCTGTATATTTCACATTATATATTCTTCTTAAGTACCAACTTAGCTTTTTAAAAAATACTACACTACATTATATGGGTAACTCTGAATCCTACAGACATCTATTATAAACTCTGAATTTCTCCTACTTAGCAGGGTACTTA